GAGCACAAAATAAACACCTAGAAGTTCTAGTATTTTTTACTGTCACATCTTGATTGTCTTCCCCCATCTCGCTTTGTAAACTACTGAACTAGTAGTGAAGGGGCACAAAGCGTCACAATCTCTATTAGATGCTGAGGATATAATAGTTGTAGTTGAAAGAATTATGGCACTACGCTACACAGTGAAGTACTCAACGAACTTCACTGAACTGAATCAGTATTATGCAAATGATGGCTCTAAGTCACCAAAAATAAGTTAAATTATACATAGCATATTACACATAAGGAGGACAGAAATCCAAAATAGATTGGGATATTTCCAAAACGAACCTTCATGTATTCAGAAAATTCACTGATTCAGAATAATTTATTACCCAGGGTTTCCAGTTACCATGAATTCTACAGTCACTTTTCAATTTTTTCCCCCAGAATGAGAGGAATTCTCAAAGAGCACATTTAAGAATGTACTTCAGTCTCCTAAAACATATTTACTGTTCCATGTTATGAAAACTAATAGAGCCATCAGCACTTTATCCACTAATTTAAAATAACTTCACACTAAAATAACTTAACACTAAAACCATTTTTCATATTTAAAGTAGTAATAAAAGCAGACATCATTGACTTCATATTTAACACCATTATTATAAGCAGTAGCAGTAGGGGACAATATTTACCTTCCCCATAAGTAACAGAAAGAGTAATGTTTCAGGAGTCAAGAAAATCACTCAAAAGTTTTAAAATGTCTATTCTGTTTTAGAAATTATGGGAGATATAATAAGACACATTCATATACATCTGACATCACTTAATCTGAAATGCACTGACAGAAAATGGTTCTCAGGAAGGAAAGATCACTGTGGACTGGAATGAAGTAAAAACTTCTCACGGAAGAGGGACATGAGCTGGAGTAAGATTCAGAGCTAGAAAGGAAAAGGCATTCAAAGCAGAGAGAAATAACTTGTCATTTGTTTTCTCAATAAAAATGTCTAATTTAGAACACCAAATAAGGCACGTTCAAGTAAAACAATTTAGAGAAACATTCCATTAAAGATATGTTATTTATTAAGCTGTTTATCAAGTCACCTGTGTGTGTGTGTGTGTGTGTGTGTGTGTGTGTGTACATGTAAACAGTACTTATCTGCCCTTTAGCTTCATAAAACCTCCCAACTTATATTTGGAATAAAAGCTCCAGGAAGAGAAAGGAAAGTTAACAGGAGCTTGTAAGTAAAGAGAAAATCTGAGGCATTTGGTCTTAAAATACTCTTTCTTCAAGTTCAAATTTTTCTACTCTCTAGACCTTTACCTAGCGTGACATTTTCCCCTGGTATACTCTATACTTGTCATTTACTTTAACTTGGAAAAGTTGAAAAAACTTCACTTTTAAAAGAAATTCATTTTAGTGATTTCCTGTCCACTAGAGGGCTCCAATATTTCTTCCACAAATGGAAGAGATTAGGCCATTACAATAAAAATATTCATTAAGCACTGAAAAAACTCAAATTATCATTAGCTCATTTAACCCCAGACTAAAAATGGTTTCATCTGCTACAATGTACATGTTAATCATTTTAAAAGATACAGAGTTTCTCTTTAATTATTTTATCATCTAAAATGTTTCAAACACCAAAACTGCTTTGCCATTATTCGCACACTAATTGTCAATTTCTCTTTTAGGTAGGGTTTTCAATTTTAGATATCATAAAGTATATTTCAGTCCAAAGTTCTAAATAGTAGCTCAAATGTTTTATATAATAGTTTAATAAATGCAATAATTTATTTCTTGATAACTTTGCCAATCCAGAAAACATAATTACTACTTTATCTACCCAGACTTAGGCCTTATTACTAACAGCAAGAGTAAACATTTTCTTTCAGAAAACCTGTGTCATTAACATAATGCATGCTGCAATTATAAATAATAAATATTGCCCCATCATGAACTATGATTTTGGCCGAGGAAAAAAAAAAGAAAAAAAGAATCATTTAAAGACAATGTATTATAATGATACTCTGTTCAAATACTTTCAGGTTTTTCTCACAAATAAATTATTACACTGGAATGTTAGTCAATCTCTTTGTTCAAACCGAATCACTCTTAGCAAAGGAAAAGCCAATATTTTAAGTAAATACATTTATATTATTTATAGGACATCTTCACAGAATGTTAACTGAAAAAGTTACCGATTGCAAATTATTTTTTGTAAAGAATATAGCAAATCCTTTCACTGGGAGTACCACTCCCACTCTTTCAAAAGACTGACTTGCTAAATTTGGATTATAAGAAAAAAGAGACTCCTTATGGTAAACATAAAAATTTACTGAATGTTTAAAAACAATTTTAAATGTCAGTTATATTTACAAAATTTAAAAATGAATCTAAAAATCGATTTGAAAGTGAGTCACAATAATTACCATAAGAAGACTCTACCAAAAGCATCAATTGATTTAGCAATTATTATAGCTCAAGAATGATTCATCTCTAATGAAAACATGACAGGGGTTATAACGACACTGCCCCACCTCATCTCCCAAATATGATTCTCCTATACAACTGACAAGCACCATTAAAATGTGAAAGAGTGTAACATTTGTTCCTAAATAGCACATACTGGCGGTCACCACTGAGAAACTTGAAAATTTTACGGCACCCGGCAAAAATGTATGTATTCATACATACATTGCAAAAGGATGTATCCTGCTCAATTTAGAATGTGCTTCAAGGGAAATGTCAGGTTATGGAAAGAGGTGGGGGTGGGAAGGCTGACGCTTTTCAAGAGTGGTAAAATTTTTCTCACTTTAAGTCATGAATGTAAATGCAGGTTAATTGTCAATTACTGATAATGAAGAGTTAAACAAATATGAAGCATTTAATTGACAACTTCTAGCTAGTATTTATCATGTTGTATTTCAAAAAGCTGAGAATTTTACATGCATATCAAATGAAGGCACTTCTTAAGCAAAAATGCAAGTAACAGCAAATGAAGGTTTAAAAGGTTTTAACACTGGAAAAAACCCTCAAGACCTCCAACAAGTTGAACAGCTAGAAGATGAGACATAAAAAATAGAACCATCTAATCTGAGCTGTACCTTAGACACACTCTGAAAGCATCACCAGGGCATTATATGTTTATTACATAATACTGCTTTGCCCTTGCACATCACCTTTAATCAAGGGATCTCAAAGCACCACAGAATTATCAAGGCCTTAAAATACAGTCTAAAACAGATATAGTTATAGTTTATAACTGCAGCCATTAATAAAACCTTGCCACTGCTTCCCGGTCCCCTGATCTGAACATTAGCTTCCAAACCTTCTCTCTGATTTGGAAACAGTATATTCCAAATCATCTCAATTTGTAGCTGATACTACGCACATTCCAGCTTTTTACTGGGCTCAAGAAAGTAGTGGCACTGTTTTAATGACACAAATCTATTTCACTACAACTTCTGTGATAAATAGTGCTTAGGGCGATCATATCTTAGAGTGTACATGATGGTATAAAATGGAGGCGAGAGAAAGAGCGGAGAGAGCAAGAGAGAGCAAATCTTTGCTGGAGGTGATAAGCCCACACAGCAAATACCAAACAGGGGAAATAGCATTTTCCAGCTCAGTCCAGAGACCTCTCCAGGCAACTCCAAGAGTTTGGTGGAGGCAACCAAGTCCAGCTATCCCTATTCCCCGATGTGCACACCAGGAGGTGAGGGAAAAGTAAAAGGACAATGCTCGAGTTTTAAGACTTAGGAAGGAGAGTGTAAGGTTGTTGTGTGGCCACCCAAGTGACAGAACCTGGTGGTTGCTTTGCATTTAAATAGCGCACTAAAAGGGAAATCAAACACAGGCAAAACGTCTTTAAACCAAGGTCAAAATATGCCGTTTAGAGCCATTTAATTTCTTTTTTTACAGCCTGTAAATGGGGTTCACGTCTCTCGAAACATCTGACATTTTAAAATTTAATCATCACTAAAGTTCAATTTCATTTTTTCGCTGAAATACACACTCAAGTGTTAATGTAAATGAGCATAACTATGTTAACGTTAATTCTTTCATAAACAAGATTATTCGTCTTCCTGTTAATTGAATTATGTGTGTCCCTAGGACGGCAAAGTGTAATTTCACACTCACACAAACCCACCTCCCAGCACTGTAAACCTACCCGGTTCCTGTTAGTCAACAGTCTCACAACCTTAACCTTTATAAGCAAAAAAAACAAAAAAACAAAAAAACAAAAAACAAAAAAAACCAACTATAACCTTTATAAGTAAGAAAAGCGTCAATAAGCATGAGTACTTTTTGTTTCAAGTTCTTAACATTCCGGGATCAAGGCTCAATCAATAATGTGTTTTATTAGCTTTTAAAAGTCCAATGATGTAATACAACTAAATATTTGGTACTAGAAGTCCTGGAATATTCACTAAATGTACCAATATACAGTCAGCCTAGATTTGTGAAAATTCCAAAATGTCTTAATACTGCTGTTGGTGTACTTGTTCACCCAGACATTTCAAAAAGCTCACGACAAATTCTAGTCGAGTTTCTCTTGATGTGATAATATGGCCCTGTTCTTGGAAATATCAAGTTTGTACCTACTGCATTAAGGATCTCGTCAGTGTCACCAAGCAAGATTCCCGTGTTCCTGTCCACCTCTGTATCTAGTAGGGACACCCGAACTCGGCTCTGCCCATCGTCACTGACGTTTTCAGACGCTTTAAGACACAACTGTTCAGAGGCTTCCAGCAAAGAGGAAGATATTTTCTCCACTTCGAGCCACCTTGCTACATTTCCCCCAACTTCTCCATTGTCTTTAATAATTTAGAAAACACAACCAAATGAGAAAATCCGCATTAAAAGCAGTACTTTCTCAAAGAGGGACCCCAGAACCTCCAACTTCTCCAAATCTTCCCGCAAAGCTTCACCCCACGCCTGCATCCTTTCTGATTAAATAAGATTGGAAACCACAGTTAAATCAAAGGGTGTCGTAACTCTTATCCTTCACTTACCATATCCGCCGGGACATTACTGGACATCTTGCCGTTTGATATATCCCCAGATGTTTACGAGAAAAAAAATCAAAAAAGACAACAACAAACAAAAAGAGAGAGAAGTCTTCAAGCTACAGAAATCAACCTTCACGATCTTGACTGGTTCGAGATGTGCTTTCCAAAAAGAAAGAAGTTATTTCGGAGCCGAAGTGCCGGCCTGGCCGAGGTTCGGTGCGAAGAGGAACAATCGCCAGGAGCGGGGTGGCCGGAGCGGGAGGGAAGCCGGGTCGCTGTCGCTGTCGCCGTCGCCGTCAGCAGCAGCAGCAGCAGGAGGAGCAGCCCCAGGACCGGCCGCGCCAGGTGGACCGAGCCGAGTGACACACGGACATGGAGGGGGTGGGAGGGGGTTAAGTCGCCTTCCTCCTCTCCCAGGCCGGCAGTGATTCACACTCGCTCCCGAGTCAAGTCCTCATTAAGCAGGAAAATGCCCCGGCGTCGAGGTACACAGAT